TATTAGCTAAGCGGCTGTACTTGTGAGCCCGTAGGTTGGCTGTAGTCTGACCCACGTTGTACTCATGCTGTGACCTTGCTGCATAGATTATCCTTGATAAAGGGCCTCAGTGCCCACCCACTCAGGACCTCCTGTCTCTCAGGAGCTTTCTTCTAATAAACCTTGCTTACTCTTAATCTCCATTGTCCCTTGGAATTTGTTCTTTGATATCTGGCGGACAGGGCTCGGCACATCTGACATCTAGCAGGTCAGGGTTATACCCTTCCACACCAGTACAGCACTGGAGGAAAGCAGCACACCTCTTCCAGCGTCTTCCTCTCCCGTGGCCACTCAGGCTCCTCAGGAAGAGGGGCCGTGTCCCTTCCTTGGGGCCTCAGCACCAGTGAGGGCTCAGTCAGAATGGAGTGGTCTTATGGATTCAGATTTGGAGCCTGCATTTGCTGGCAGGCGAGCTGCTTCTCCACCCTGCAGGGAGTTTCCAACCTCCACGGAGAGGTTAAGGTGAGTGCAGGCTTCCTGACGAGGAAGGACTTGTTTGGCAAGGTCTGTCTCTTTCTTAGGAGACTAAAATACAAGTGAACAGGACAGGGCTGTGGACAGGAGGGCTAGCACCTGCCCTAACCTTCACCCCTGCTCACTGAGCAGCAGGCAAGAGGGCTCCATAGGGGCTGTTTCCCAAGCTATGAAAAGAAGAAAACCCAGTCTCCATTCTGCCTGCTGAGGAGAACTGGGGGGGGGGGGCTACAAAACCGCTCCTGCCTCATTTCTTTTACTCCCTAGAAACCACTTGCAAGTTCTGGTTCTGTCAGTATTTCCAACCATTCAGCAAAGTTTAAGACGAGCTGCCAGTCTAAAATTTTTATCTTGGCCAGATGTGGTGGCGCACAACTGTAATGCCAACACTCGGCAGGCTGAGGCAGGCTGATCTCTGTGAGTTTGAGGCCAGCCGGGGTTACACAGTGAGCTCACAGCCAGCCTGAATTATATATCAAGACCCTATCTCAAAAATAATACCACTAGGACCAGGGATGTAGCTCAGTGGTTCCGGTGCCTGCCTCACAAGCTCAAGGTCCCCAGTTTGATCCCTGGTACCAAAAAAAAAATAATAATAATAATAATAATTTTGACATCCAAAATAAACCTCTTATCCTTTAAAAAGAAAATTTGGAAGTTTCTTTCAAATTATTATTATTTTTTGAGACAGGGTCTCACTGTCTAATTCAGGGTGGTCTTGAACTATGTAGCCCAGGCTGTCCTCGAACTCATGGCAATCCTCCTGCCTCCTGCCTCAGCCTCCTGAGTGCTGGCATTACAGTCATGCACCACTACACCCGCATCTCTCAAATTAAAGCAGCAAAAGTTTCATTATCTAAATTTTATCTAAAGTTACTAAAGTCTGTTTCAACTTCATGTTATAGTCATAAGACCACAAGGTAAAAAGCCAGCTATTTTTAGCTTAGGGCCTAGGAACAGAATCTCAATGAGACAGGGTCTTTCTATGTAGCCCAGGCTGGGCTCCAACTCTCAGCAATCCTCCTGCCTCAGCCTCCCAAGTGCTGGCCTTACAGGTGTGTGCCACCACACTCAACCCCTTGTTGGCTTTAATAGCCTTTCTGTTGCTGCTTTCTAACTGCCTTAAATTTTGTGTGTGTGTGTGTGTGTGTGGTACTGGGGATTGAACTCAGGACCTTGTGCTTGGGAGGAAGAAGCAGTGCCACTGAGCTAAGTCCCCGGCCCAAATTGCATTGAATTTTTGTGTGGACATGTGGTGGGTAGCTCAGGGATAGAGCGTTTGCTTAGCAAGCTGAAGGCCCTGGATCAATGGCCAGGGCCCAAAACCCCGAAAACATAGCTGTTGTGTGTTCTTCAATATTATTGTAGTAGCTTTCTTGAGGTATAATTGACATAGTACACAATTTACTCATTTAAATTGTATAATTCAATAATACTTTTTAGTATAGTCACAGAATTGGGCAACATTCCCATAGATAATTTTATGACTTTTAAAAAATCATTCCTAAAGAAATCTATTCTAGAGTTAGGTCTTTATTATATAGTAACTCTTTGCCCAATTTTGCTACATGCTATGTTCCACTGTTTCCATTTAAAAGAAATACATTCTTTTATAAAAAGGATGTTTTTGTTTGTCCATTTATCTTTAGTGATGACTGATACATTTGGATTTATTTCTACTACATATTTTGTGCTTCCTATGTTTAGCCTTTCTTTGTTTACCACCTTGTAGAAATTGGAGTTGTATCGCTTCTCAGCCTTTTGGCTAAGATCAAGGGTTGGAATTGTATTCTTTCAAATATTTTTTTCTCGAATCTCTGAGATGATCCTATTCTATTTGTTAATCTGTTAGGGTAGTGGATGAGCTGACTGATTTTTCTAATGTGAGGCCAGCCTCATCTTCCTGAAACAAACTCGACTTTTTTTTTTTTTTTTTAAAGTGGGACAGGTTTATTTAGCTGGCAGTTTGTAGAGGTTTCAGTCCATAATTGACTGGCTCCAAGGCAAGGTGGCACACAGCAGAGGGGCAACAGTTCATGGAGGTAGAAGACAGCAAAAACAACAAGGGCAACTTGTTCTTGACTGTTACAAATACGAATGAGGAGCTCTCACTTTCTGCCCTAGGGCAGGACTGTAAAAATGACTGCAGGCTGAAACTCGGCAAAGCATTCTTAGTGTGTGGAAAACAATTACAAACTTTTTGTATCTTTAAAATGTTTGTGCCAAAAGATTAAAAACTCTCCCACTGTTTGTTATAAACACATACAGAAATTTAAAAAGTGTATTCTGATTCATACTTAGTAAACTTCAATTTAAAACATTACAAACATAAAGAAAGAAGAATGGAAGGAAATGGAGCTGGGAATGTAGCTCAGTGGTACAGCTCAAGTATAGTGCCCTGGGTTCAACCCCAGCACCAGAAAAACACCTCCTCAAACACCTCTTGGCAAAAAGAAACCACACTGTCATTCACAGTCACTCCATTTCTCTCTCTCTCCAGCTCTAGCAGCTTCTACTCTCCTGTCCCCCTGGATTCCTCTGTTGTGGATATTTCATATAACTGGAAGTGCACAACACGTGACCTTTGGGTCTGGTTTCCTTCACTTAGCATGATGTTTTCAAGATTCATTCCCCACATGGCCTGTGGTAGTCTTGTATTCCTTTTTTTTTTTTTTTTTCTCGAGACAGGGTCTTGCTATGTAGCTCAGGCTGCCCTCAAACTCGCTGCAATCCTCCTGACTCAGCCTCCAGAGTGCTGGGATTACAGGTGGGCACCACCTCCCCTGGTAGTCTTGTATTCCTTTTCTGGCTAAACACTATCTGATTGTGTGGATGTGGATGCACAGTTTGTTCCTTTGTTCATCAGACAATGAACATTTGGGTTGTTGCCACTTTCAGCTATTATGTATAATGCTCCTGAGAATATAAGCATAGAAGTTTCTTCGTGGGCATATTATTTCGTTTATTTCTCAGAGCAGAATCACTGTGACTTGAAACAAAGCTTTTGTAAATAAGGAGGGGAAGAAGGGATGAAGGGGGGAGGGGAATGGGAAAAAAAGCAGGATATATCATGGATAGGTGCAAATTCCCTATGATGAGTGTTATCATTATGTAGATCTAAAAGCTACCAATAAAATAAATGCAAAAAAAAAAAAAAAAGAATCATTGTGCCATTTTGTTTTGGAGACAAGGTCTTGCTATGTAGTCCAGGCTGGCCTCTAACTCCTACTGATTCTCCTGAATATTGGATTATAGGCTGGGGATTTAGCTCAGTGGTTCTGCTGCCCAAGCACAAGGTCTCCAGTTTGATCCCTGTTTGATCTCCGGTTCAAAAAAAAAGGATTTACAGTACTGCATTACAGATGTGTGCCACCACGCCCAGCCTTGCCGTGTGTGTGTGTGTGTGTGTGTGTGTGTGTGTGTGTGTGTGTGTTTGGTACCAGGGATCAAACTCAGGACCTTGTGCTTGCAAAGCAGGTGCAGGAACCACAGAGCTAAATCCCCAGCCTGCCATGTGGTTTTTGAAGAAATGCCAATGTTTACAAAGCAGATTTACATTTCCATCTTTGGACTAAGGATTCCAAATTCTCCACATCCTCGGCAAGACTTTTTTTTCCCCTTTGGTCATCTTAGTAGGTTGTAGCGGTATCGACTTCCATTTCCCTGATGGCTAATGATGTTAAGCATCTTTTCTTGGGCTTATTTATTAACTTTTTTTTTTTTTTTTTTTTTGGTACCGGGGATCGAACTCGGGTCCTTGCACTTGCGAGGCAGGCGACGGAACCACTGGGCTAAATCCCCGGCCCAAACTCTTGAGGTCTATTAAGGGAGGACTATGGGTTTATATCAGCAGCGAGTTTTTCTTGAATTTGTGTCTAGATTGTTGGAAGAATCCTTTCTCTTGCAATGAAGCCCACTTGCCCTGACACTGAACAAAAGGCTTTCTGTGAATTTTTTCAAAGAACAAAACTCAGGTCTACACTGGATAAGAAGTTACTTTAAGCAGAACTTGCAGAGAGAAAAATGAAGTAAGTTGACAGGTTACTTCAGCCGAAGGAAGTGGCCTGTTGTGTTTGAATCTGACATACATTCCCTTTAAACAAATCTATAGAAAAAAAACCCAAACAGGCCGGTTTTGGGTATTCACAAAGAGCGCACTGACATCTTCATGTGTAAAATTCAAATACAGACTGAGTTGGAAGTGAGAAAAACTAAGAAAACCAACTAAGGGCCTTAACCCAGTCCAGGTGGAGAAACCCAGACCTTAATTTATAACCTCGTCTCTCCAACCCCGAAGTCATTTCCTGGGGGTCGCGCGGACTCTCCTGTGCCCCAGGTCCCTGCCGAGGGGGCGGCGCGCGTTTCGGGAGGGAAACAGGCCCTGCTCTGAGCGCCGTTAGTAACAAAAGCCTGCAAACCAACCTCCTGTTCAAATTCACCATGACCCTGCAAGCCCTGGCGCCCGGAGACGCTGACCCCCAGCCTACAAGGTCAACTCTCCGATGCAGGAGGCTCCTCGGGGAACGCGGCCTCCAGTGTGCTCACAACCGAACCGACTCCTCCCGGGTCCACCCGGCGGTGGTGGAGGCCCCGCCCCATTACCGCATTTCATTGGCTCTGGTGACACACCCCCCACACACCCGAGCGTCGGCTCCGGATTGGTCGAACTGGCTGCTGTTCAGCTTCCACCCGGGGGGCGCGCGGCGAGCGTGACCACGCCTCTTACGTCCGGACGCTCCGAGGCCTCGGGAGGCGCCGTAGTCGCCTCGGAGAAAGAAGGTCGGCCGTCCGGGGACTGCTATGGTGCTGAGTTTCCTGGCAGAGCCGAGGCGGTCGCGGCCATGAAGGTGAGGAGCTGGTGGAGTCCCGCAGGCTGTCCTTGCTTCTCCTGTGTCTCAAAGCGCAGGCTCGCCTCCCGCCTCAGCGGTTACCCCGCCGACTCCGCGGAGGGGGCGCCGGCCGGCGTCTGGGTCCCCGCGCGGCCCTGGGCGGTGCAGCTGCGCCTCGGACCCCCGGCAGCTCCGCGGCGCCGCCCGCCAGCGAGCCGAGGAGGGGCAAGACTGGGCTTCCTGCGCTCGTCCCGGGTGGGCCCGGTGTGCGCCCAGCCCTCCTCGCCTTTGCCCAGCCTGCCTGCTCCCGCCGGAGTCCTTGAACTCACCCAGATGTCGAGAGCATCACGGGACCGACGGGGACAGGAGAGCGGCGAGCGCCAATCGGGTCGGGCGGGCAGGTAACGGCTGTGGCGGGCGGGGATCCACCCCGGCGGGTCCTGAAGGCTGAGCGCCTGGGCCAGAGCGTGCGCCCAGCAGCTCCTTGGGCAGCTTTTCTCCAAGGTAGGAGGCGAGCTGGAGCATCACCGATAAGTTTTAAGACGAGGAGCAAGGAGGGAAGACCCTGGACCACTTTTAGAGGTGCTTCTCACAACTTGATTTGTGCACAGCAGTCAATTCGAGTATTGATTCTTTAGCCGAACTCGGACCGAGTGGGATGAGGCATAAGGCGATGCTTCTCTTACAGACAGACGGCTTCATTAATGTCAACGAAGAAATGTGTTTGATGTGGGTAAGGAAAATAACAGGGAGCTGCTAGATTCCCATCATAAAGCGTCTAAGATTCACTGGGGAAGATTGAAAAGGGAGTGTCAGGTGGCCGAGGAATTCAGGTATTCTGCTGAGACACTTCGTGTGGTTAACCAAGGGAGACATTCAGAATGCAAGCCTACTCTTCAGGAAGCAGAATAGCAAAAGAATAGCAAAAGAAAGCTGTTAGAAAGTTGCAAACTTCAAAGCAGATTGATGTATCAAAAAAACCCGAAAACCAAAAGACCCAAATGCAAAATCTCAAGAGCAAGAAAAGATACTTCTGGTTGCAGGAATGTTTGGAGTAGGTAACTTTTGACCCTTGCTTTGAAGCATAGGGGTATTGTAAGAATGTTTGTTTTGGTCAGGCATGGTGGTTCATGCCTGTATCCCAGCACTTGGGAGGCTGAGGCAAGAGGACAGCTGCAAGCCTAGGCCAGCTTAGGCTACATAGTGTGTTCAAGGTCAGCCTGAACTACTAGAAAAAAAAAAAAAAGAATTTTAGTTTTATGTTCTTTTGAGAGTCTCTATATAGTACTTCAGGCTGGTGCTTGAGTACTACACACTCAAACTCACAGCAATCATCCTGCCTCAGCCTCCTGAGTTGGGATTATAGGTGTGAACCTCCATGCTTGGCTCGAAAAACGTTTTTAACTTTTCAGCTTATTTACAAAATAGTTCAGCTTAGAATAGCTATTAAAATATCCAGGTCTGGGGCCAGGGATTTAGCTCAGTGGTTTCACCGCCTGGTGGGCAAGCACAAGTTTGATCCCCGGTACCAAAAGAAAAAAAAAAAAAAAATCCAGGTGCTCGGTTTGGCAGTGCATACATTAAAATATATAGATGTAACTTTATTTCCTCAAAATTAAGCTTTTGCTGTGTTAAGATCCAAAAACAAAGCAGAGGTCTTTATACCTCGAAGAATGTCATTGTCTTTATTAGTATTAAATTTGTGACCCATTAAGGAAATAGATATGGAAGGAGAAGTCGTCATAGGTCCAGTTTTGAAATTGTAAAATAAGTTCTTTAAAAACAAGTATATTTTGAAAAGTTTTTGTTTTTTGGTACCAGGAATTGAACTCTGGGCCTCATGCTTGTCAGCCAGGTGCTGTGCCACTGAGCTACATCCCTGGCCCTAAAACAGGTATTTTTTTAAAAACAAGTATTTTTTAAATTTAAGTGGAAGATACTTCTGTTGAAACTTTATTTAGTTCTTTAGTTTCTTTCTTTTCTTTTTTTTTTTTTTTTTGAGATGAGGTCTCACTATGTAGTTCAGGCTGGCCTTCAACTCACTATCTCACTATGTAGCCCAGGCTGGCCTTGAACTTGTGGCAGTCCTCCTGCCTCAGCCTCCTGAGTGCTGGGATGGCAGGCATGCGCCACCATGCCCAGCTGGAAGATGTTTTCTGAAGCCAAATGCAAACCTGAATAGTCCAGGATTGTGCAAAATGAGTTATGAATGCTGCTTTCATTTTTGGTTTTGTGGAACTGGATTCACAGAATTTAGGATTTGAGCGGTTGTTTATTACTCAACTTCATGTTGACTTTTTATTGAAACTGTTTAATTGTACCCACCTCTGTGGACATCTAGTTAAGGTCACTGATTCCTGAGGTGGTATTCTAACGTGAACATTCATATAAGCAAGGACTTCTTTGAATAAAATTAAACTTTAAGAGCTAAACAATTAGATAAGAACATCTTCAAACTTATGAGCAGTTGATTTTAGTGTATGTGTGGAATAGGTATTTCTTTAATTTTTTTTATTAGAAACTGATGTTTCCACATAGATTTGACTTCTTGGACGTTTAACTTTATAGAGTTCATCTAATTATGTCACTATAAGGGTTGTTTTTTTTTTGGAGACAGGGTCTCACTATGTAGTTCAGGCTGTAGCCCAGGCTGGCCTTGAACCCAGTTATCCTGCTTCAGCCTGCCTAGTGCTAGGATTACAAGTATGTGCCACCACGCCCAGCTTATAAAGGCTTTTTTTTTTTTTTTTTTTGGTATGGGGACCTTGTGCTGAGCTAAATCCCCGGCCTTATAAGGGCTTTTTAAAAATTCCAACTTGTTGGGGCTGGGGATTTAGCTCAGTGGTTCCACCACCTGCCTCACAAGCAGAAGGACCCAAGTTCGATCCCCGGTACCAAAAACAAAAACAAACAAACAAAAAAATTCCAGATTGGTGCTGGGTTAATTTGATGTAATCCTCTTTCCTACTTTTCCATGTTTGTGTCGCTCTCATCCTTAATTGTGCTAATCATATTCATTCTTCCAAATCTTGTAAGTACAATTTCATTCTTTCTTTTTTTCCTCTGAAAGATAGGGGGAGAGGTTTGACAGAAAATACAAATTCTTGGGCTGGAGATTAAGCTCAGTGGTTTCGCTGCCTGCTGCACAAGCGCAAAGACCCAAGTTCAATTCCCGGTACCAAAAAACCCCCAAAAAACAAAACACAAATTCTGCAAAGCTGAGGCTGGAGAATTTCAAGTTCAAGCTTAGCCTGGGTGACTTCAGCAAGACCTTGTCTCTAAAAATAAATAGAGGGCCAGGTATTCAGCTCAGTGGCACTGCATCTGCCTCGTAAGTGCAAGGCCCTAAGTTTGATCCCTGATATGGGCAAGGGTGGGGGCCCAAAAAAAATAGGGCTGGGGATGTAGCTCAGTGCAAAGGCCTTGGCTTCAAGCCCCAGTACCACAACAAAACACAAATCAACAAAAAACCCAACACGAGGAAGGCAATATTTCTGCCATATAGTGTGCATTATTGTAAAATTTTAACCATCTGATCAGTGTCTTACCTAAAAATACTGCATTTTAAAGGTCAACATCTGTTTTAGGATGTAGAATTTCTTCCTTTGTTGGGTATTTGGTCATTAAAAAAGCAGAGTTCCCTGCATATTTCATTTGAAGCCCCAGTTCCAGTAAGAGATCCTTTCACATTTGAATGATTATTTCTATAGTGTCTAAATAAGAGGAAGATTTTGCTTATTTATCTCAACTGTTTTCTTTTGCACTGCTGTAAGTTCTTTAACCCAGCTGAAGTTTAGACTACAGAACATATTCTTTTTTTTTTTGGTACTGGGGATCAAACTCGGGTCCTTGCACTTGTGCAGCAGGCAGTGAAACCACTGAGCTAAATCCCAGGGCCCCAGAACATATTCTTTTTTATCAGTGGTGCTGAGATTTGAAGCACCTTTTTCTTTTAACACAAAGGCATTCACTCCATGGGTTTTAGTAATTGAAAGATGTCCAAAGTTTAAAGCAAGACCTAGACCCGGGCTATGGCTTTAGCTCTGTGTGGCTGCACCTGCCTTGCAGGCTCAAGGTCCTGAATTCAATCCCTAGTACTGAAGGGGGGGAAAAAAAAAATACAAGACTTAGAGTGGAGTTCACTGAGGAAGCTTTTTTTGTTTGTTTTGGTTTTTGAGATAGGGTTCTGCTTTGTCTTGGTGATCCTCCTGCCTCAGCCTCTGAGCACTTCGATTACAGGCATGTGTCGCCACATTTGGAGGGCTGGCTAATACTACATTTGATAGAGTCATTAAAAGGGGTCACATCCTAATATACAGTAAGAGCCAAATTTTGTAGGAAACTTTAGATAATTCTTAGATGGAGTCTTTGAAGTGTTTTTTCTCCTCCAGGGCTTCCAAAAGCATATTAGATCATACACAAAGAACCTGAACCTTGAGGCCATTTGAAAAAGCACTGCCAGGAGGAGGTCTGGGCTACAGGTCTTGAGAGGCAGAACACGCCTCTTCGTGGTTTTGTGACTGAAATGGTGTAGGGTGGGATGTATCCAAATGTGACTGAGAACCGGGTAGAGTGCTTGTAACTGTGGGTGTCCACTGTAGAAATGAGTTTCCCCTCCTGAACCTACAGGAGGGGAAGTACAGGAGGAGCTCTTCCACCTTCTGCTGCCAGTGCTCTAAGAGGACCTTTGATGTTGTGGGTTTCAGTGAAGGACTAAATATGCTTGGCTTATGGTTTTCTAGAACCTTCTCAGCCTTCCTTCAGGGAGCAGACATTGTGGTCTCCACACACTTAGGGTAAGCTGCTCTTGACTGCCAGTGACTCGATGACATGGTGTCAAGACCAGGCAGCTGGCTGCAGAGATAAAGTCATATCTCTGTTTGGAGACAGGATTTTGCTATGTAGTTCAGACTAGCCTTAAACTTGGGGTGATCCTCCTGCCTCAGCCTCCTGCTGCCATGGTGGGCACAAAGGAGAAATCGGCCCTCTGGCTCAGCAGGCCTTGACCACATATATGTGTATCAGAGTCACCTGGCAGTGAAAAAAATGTCCAGCTCAGGCCACACCCCAGACCAGCAAAGTCAGATCTTGGGCTGAGCCCAAGCACCGGTATTTTGAGACTGGACTGATGAGTCCGATAAGGTGCTTCCTTAGGTGGAGGGAGGGAGAGCAGCCACTGGGGTGCAAGACAAGAGCTGTGAGTTTCTAAGTTGGGGACCACAGGTCACTGAAGAAGCCACTGTCATTTCAGCAGCAGCTGTCAGGAGATGGGCTGAATAGAGACGTGGAAACAGCCTGGTTCAGAGAGGGCAGAGGGGAAAGGAGAGTCCTTCTGGGAAGCCTGTGGACTGCTCCTGATGCTTCTCAGAGGGGAACTGTGGGATTCACCCTCCGGAAGACTCAGTTCTTACAGCAGGTTTTGTCCAAACTTGGGTTCACAGGTCCTCCATTTTCCGGTGTTGTTCCTTCCTCTCTGCATGGTCTTTGGCTGCTGGCAGTGACCTGGGTCTGCACTGTACCACGTGTTGAGTTAGAGCAGCAGTTTGGGATGGGACGCTTTGGGAGTCTAGGTGGACTTTTTTGTTTGGTTTTAATATTTTTTTATGAGATGGTTGAGAAGATAGAATTATTACTTTCTTTCTGGGGGGTGCAGAGGAAATTCCTGCCCTTTTAGGGAACTAGGAGGAAGCGAACAAAATTGTTAGCCTACAATAATGACATGTATGAGATATTCCACCTGTTTCCCCAAATAAATTCTTCTGTCCCTTTCACCAGAGCTTAAAAAAACATTTCCAGCCTACAGTTTTCATGAGAATGCTTATTAACATGGCTTGGAAATTTTGTGTCCTTAATTCATAAAACTGTCTCTGATAGGAAGGGCAAAATGGGACTTTTAAAAAAAGTTCAGACTGGTCTTGAACTATGTACCCCAGGCTGGCCTCAAACTCATAGAGCTCTTCCAGCCTCAGCCTCGAGAGTATTGGGAGGGTCCAGCAACATTCCTTTTTTCTTTTTCTTTTTTTTTTGGTACTGGAGATTGAACTCGGGACCTTGTGCTTCAAAGGCAGGCGCTGGAACCACTGAGCTAAATCCTCAGCCTCCTTTTTTCTATTTATCCAGTTTTCCTTTGTTTTTTTGGAGACAGGGTCTCGTTATATAGCCCAGGCTGGCCTGGAACTCACGGTGATCCTCCTACTTCAGCCTCCTGACTGCCACACTACAGGCACACCAGGCAAAAATGCTTTTAGAAGAAATGTCAGATTTTCGACCTGCTAGGTCAGAACTTTTACCTTAATTATTCTTTATACAATTAAAACCTTCTTAGTAGTGTGCAAAATTTAGATTGTGCTGCATGACCTGTATAGAGGTAATAAGAAGAAAGCTTGTACATGGTTATTTGTCAGCTCCGTGAGGATGGAAGTAGGTGCTGGAGACAGCAGCTCTGTGCAGGGCCCTCTGACTCTACCTGAGGAGACAGCAGGAGTCAGGAGGAGGAGGAAGCCAGTGGGGCTAGGCACTTGGTTAGAGGCTGATCAGTGGGCAGCTGAGGCTCGCCAGCATCACTGCTCCTGCCTCTTGAAAGAAGTGGTAATTCTATAGTGAGTCTCCCACCCTCCCCTCAAAATGGAATTTTTTTTGAGACAAGGTCTCTCTATGTATTTTAGGCTAGCCTCAAACTCAACTACGTGGTCCAGGCCAGTCTCAAACTCATGGCAATCCTCCTGCCTCAGCCTTCTGAGTACTGGGACTATGAGCACGCACCACCACTCCTTGAGACAGCCTTCCCGAGGTCACTAAATTGCCCAGGCTGGGTTTGAACTTGTGATCCTCCTGCCTCAGCCTCCCAGAGTGCTGAGATTCTAGGCATGCATCTAGAATCTGTGCCTGGTTGTGCAGATGTTCTTAAACGAACAATCACTCTATTAGTAAATCTGCATTTTCATGCTTCTGTTGAAGTAAGCAGACTATAGCCTTGGAGTCTGAGGTAGGAGCTATTAATTAAACCCGAGTTTAAAAGGTAGCACTATTCCTTGAGAATTAGAGTATGAAGCCATATAACACTTAAATCAACAAACCTGGTACTGAGGCCAGTGTGAACCTTGTGATGTGGTTTCTTCCTGCTTTGCCATCTCCCTTCCCTGTACTGAATTTAAGTTAGTACTGAGTAGTAGTAAGAGTGGCATGATCTTCAGTAGTTTCCAAGTTGCACTTTAAAGTGGTTTTAAAATGTTTTTAAAGGAGATTTTTGGACAGTTAATGACTGACAAACAATAAACTGTTGTATGTGCTGCCATTTTAACTAATATTACCTATCATATAGATTGTAGAGTATGCGTAGGAATCAGGACGGGGTAAAATCTCTTGGCTTAGCCTCGCCCTTACACTTAAAAGTCTGGGAAAATGCCTCACCCCTCACACTCAAGAATTCTCACCTACTGCTAGAAAGCTGGGCTAGTGTGTCCGAGGCTGTAGCAGAACAGGAGATAGGGTGCTGTAGTGACAGCCTTGGTGGCTCCCAGCAAAGATGGCTCCCCAAAGCCAGTGCATCAGGCCGTGGGCATGCAGTGGCCGGCAAGTAGCCTTTCTAACCCTGGCAGGTCAGTAAGGCTACCAAGCCAGAGAGTTCTTTTGTATTCTCTTTTTGTACGGCAATGTCTTTACTTTTAAGTGACTAGAGAGGTACGCCGAAAAATAACATATAACAAGTTCTCAAGTCCCATCATCTGGTAAATGTTCTGAGGCAGGGTCTTGCTGTGTAGTCCAGAGTGACTAAACTTGAGATCCTCCTGCCTCAGTCTCCCGAGTGCTGGGATTACAGACCTGCGCCACCATGCCTGACTCATCCAGTATTTTCAGTTTGAGAAAAAGAGTGCTGGGCCGGGGATTTAGCTCAGTGGTTTTGCTCCCTGCCTTGAAAGCACAAGGACCAGAGTTTGCGATCCCCGGTACCAAAAAAAAAAAAAAAATCAAGAGAAGATAAGAGTGCTATTTTAAAAGTACTTTCCACAATGTCAAATTAATGTATTTTTTTTTTTTTGGTACTGGGGATCGAACTCGGGACCTTGCGCTTGTAAGGCAGGCGGCGGAACCACTGAGCTAAATCCTTGGTCCAAAATTAATGTATTTTTTAAATTTTAATTTTAATTTCTTTTTCAAAATTAATGTATTTTTAAAAGAATTTTGAAAGTAAAGAAAAGCTCAAGAAAATTACACAAGATATATTAAAATCTAGAGAGACATTCACAGTTGGTGGCATTTTGATGTTTTCTGTCTTCTTTCCTTTTTTTAATGGTGCTGGGGATTTGAACTTGGGTCCCGCAAATGCTAGGTAAGCACTGTACCACTGAGCCACATGCCTGGCCTTTCTTAGTTGTTTTTAAATAATAAAAATATTTATACCATAGTATATTATTATCGCTTCTCAGCCTTTTGGCTAAGATCAAGTGTAGTGTACCATAGTGTATTATACTTAGCTACAAGTGAGCGAACAGAGGATTAATGAAATTAATATGAATTTATGTTCTTTCTCCTAAATAACAGGTAGGAAAGTCGGCCTCAGCCTGTAGAATGCTGGTGTCTAAGTCTAATACAGTAGCCACTGGCTAAGGCTGCTGCAGAAGTGCCCAGGAATTGGGAATTTCAGATTTTTTTTTTGTGGTACCAGGGATTGAACACAGGACCTTGCACTTGCAAGGCAGGGCTGGTGCCACTGAGCTAAATCCCCAGCGGGAATTTCATATTAAAATGAATGATTTTTAAAATATTTCTGATATTATGTAAGAGTTTTTCCTTCAGAATTTGAGTCACATTGTATGTTTTAACAAGGCATCATGAATGTCTGTAATGCCAAGTATTTGTTTGAAATACCAGAAATTTATCTTTCCACATAGCTTGAAATGTTGGTCCCTAAAGCAATATAGGCTTTCTCTCACCAAAAGTGCTTGGAACTAGAAGTGTTGTGGATTTTGGAGTTTGTTGATTTTGAATTATTTGCACAGACTTTGCCTGTTGAGCATCTATATTTGAAATCTGAAACCCAAATCTGTACCTTTGTGAATGTCTCATCAGTGATTGCAGATTTTGGCTTAGAGGGGCTCATTCTGTGGCTGCAGTTATTTAGGGTGAGGCCACCTCCACAGATGGCCCAGGTCCCTTGCTTTAAATGGTGGCACTGTTTCTTCCCAGGCGGGTGCCACGTCTATGTGGGCTTCATGCTGTGGGCTGCTGAACGAAGTCATGGGCACCGGAGTCGTCAGGGGCCAGCAGTCAGGATTTCCAGGAGCCACTGGGCCGTTCCGATTCACAACAAACTCAGATTTTTCTGCCTACCCACCAGCAGCTGCGGAAGGGCCTAATATAGTCTGCAAAGCCTGTGGACTCGCGTTTTCAGTCTTTAGAAAGAAGGTGAGTTGGATGAAATATTACACACCAAAGACACATGGGTGAGAATTCTTGATTGGAGGATATCTTGAATAGGCAGTGCATTATCCTTTTTGTTTTGATTTTGTTGAGAGAGGGTCTATGTTGTTCAGGTGGTTCTTGAACACGCAGTGATCCTCCTGCCTTAGCCTACTGAGTGCTGGGATTATAGGTGTGTGCCATCAGGCCCAGCTTCTTCCCTATTTTTTTGAGACAGGGTCTCATTATGTAGTTCAACTTGGCCTTGAACTCACTATGTGGCCAGGTTGGCCTCAGATTTGCATCAACGATCCTCCTGCCTCAGCCTCCCGAGTGCTGGGATCACAGGTGTGCACCCCACACTTGGCCTCTTTTTTCAGATAAGAAAACTGTTCACAGAGGAACAGACAAGCAAGAAAGACTGTTTGCGCTTCTTGCTCACTCCATATGGCTCAAGTCTTCTCTGTTCTACTAATTACATGTTTGGAGCAAGGGGTGGAAAGCCTTTAATTCATTAACACAGGGTGTATGTTTTTCCTAAAGGGCTGTATTTGAACTGTGAAGTGAAATTTGAACCGTGCAATGACTCTAGTGATTTCCATGGCTTTGAGAACACTAAAATGTGTGTACAGATAGGTTGGTACCATGGGACCTGACAAGAGCCAAAATGTTAATTTTAATAGAAGGCAGAAAGAAACTGTGTTTTCATGCTGCCTGTATCTTGCGATCGTGAAATGCTTCTCTTCTTCAGCACGTGTGTTGTGACTGCAAGAAGGATTTCTGCTCCGTCTGCTCCATCTCCCAAGAAAACCACCGTCGCTGCTCCACCTGCCACTTGCTACAAGAGACCGCCTTTCAGCGGCCGCAGCTAATGCGCCTGAAGGTGAAGGACCTGCGGCAGTACCTCATCCTGCGCAACATCCCCACCGACACGTGTCGCGAGAAGGAAGACCTGGTGGACCTGGTGCTGTGCCACCATGGACTGGGCTCTGAGGATGACCCAGACACCAGCAGCCTCAACTCTTCTCGCTCCCAGACGTCCAGCTTTTTTACCGAGTCCCTGTTTTCACACTATACAGCCCCCTCCACCACCGAGTCCTTTCTGGGAGAGCTTGCAGGCAGAGGCCACACCTCCAGGTCTGGAGCCCTGGCACAGGTACGAGGGGATGGCTGGTGGCTGTACACGGGGTCCTTCGTGCCTGAGATGGCATAAGATTGGAGTCCTGTCCGGGCCCTGCCGCCCCTGCCCACACGTGCTTCTGACATGTGGTCTGAAGGGTACAAAAGGGGCTTATTGGTTACTTGGCCTTGGTGAGCTGTTTTCCCAGCTTACAGAATTAAAAAGTAACTGTGGCAGCAGTGACGCAGAAGTAGCACATATACACTTGCAGATCAGTGGCTGCAGATCAGCAGTGGAAGTTCCTCGAGTGCCCCACACCTTGCTGCAGGGAACTGCATTAATGCAGCAAGTGAGAGCTGTCCGGACTAGGACAGTGCAGTCGTTTACTAACTGAACATTGTCCCCTCGAGCTCCTGGAGTGTCCTGATTCAGTGACACACAAGGGCTTGCAACTCATGCTGTCTTATGTTCGACTGGCTCTGAAACTGTGTGGTACTGTGTGCCTGTGATCTCAGCTACTCGGGCAGCTGAGGCAGGAATGTGAGTTTGAGACCTGTCTGGACAACACAATGAGATCTCATCTCAGAAAATGTCTTTTTCCATATTTTTAGTATAAAGGCTGAATTGTTTTGAACAATTTTCTGCCTGAAGAAAAAGGTTATTAAAAGCAGAGAGAAGCTTGGTCTAGCTGCCTTCCAAATACTCCTAAGAGCCCAAGCCGGGAGTTTTCTTTGTTTACACGAGAACTGGCCTAATTCTGATATAGACCTGAGACACATCCAACTTTGTACCACTTCTGGATAGAAGGTGCCATTTGGAGATGTGGGTGGTTGGTGCTTATGAGTCAGGAGAGTGCCGTGTTTGAAACCGGAAACCAACCCAGATGATTGTAGAGCTACAGTCAAAATAAAACCTGTAAAAAATGTATATAACCCAACTTGAAGGGACTTCTGTTTTTCCTGAAGGAAAAAGTATCTCTGTTGTGCGTTTTGTTTTATTTTTTGAGATGGTCTCACTATGCAGTCAAGGCTGGCTTTGAACTCACTGTACAGCCCAGGCTGGCCTCGAGAACTCAAGAGATCCTCCTGCTTCAGTGGAGCAGGAGCCTTCTCACTGCTGGGATTACAGGCATTTGCTGCCATGCTGGGCTTCTATAGAGGAATTTTAAACTTTAGAGCCAGCCGTGAGGATGCCTAGAAAGCCTTTGGAACGAGGAGTCTGATGTGGTTGGATTGGTTGCCCACACCTGTGCTGAGCCCAGACAGAATTCAGCCCTTTCCTGGCCCTCTTAGAGGCTCCAGTTAGGGCAGCACCTGGAGCTCCTCCGATGCTAACGCAGGGTCCCACACTTCCTTGGGTGTCAGTGCTGGTCACGCTGTGTAGGTCCTCACAAAGGTGACTCTGGCAGGCAGTACCAGGAGGAGCCCCAAGTTTGGATCCAAAAGTGTGGCATGGGCCAGGAGTTTGGGTCATTCTTGGGAAGGTGGGTGGAGAGCTTTCCCCTTGAGACTGGGGTTGCTTCTGTTAGGGAAAGGGGATTCCTCATCTAATCAGACACATACATGGTGTCTGTAGGCACAGAGTGAGGCGGCAGCAAACACGGAAGATGACGATGATGAGGACGATGACGAGGAGGAGGAGGAGGAGGAGGAGGAGGAGGACGAGGACGAAGAGAACTTGGAGGAGCAGGTGAGGCTGGCAGAACCTGGTTTCCCTGGCATCATGTGGCAGGAGAGAGACGCCATGCAGGCCTTTTCTGGCCAGCACAGGCTGCTTAACCCGGCCAGGGCAGAGACCTGGGGCCTGACCTGTGGGCATGGCAGTGACAGCGGCTGCTCTGCTTGCAGACATCTGGGCTCTCCCAGAAGAGGGCGAGAGCCTCGCTGTCCGACCTGTCCAGCCTGGAGGAGGTGGAGGGCATGAGCGTGCGCCAGCTCAAGGAGATCCTGGCCCGGAACTTCGTCAACTACTCTGGCTGCTGCGAGAAGTGGGAGCTGGTGGAGAAGGTCAACAGGCTGTATAAGGAGAATGAGGAGAACCAGAAGTCATGTAGGTGCCCTGCTTCCCTCCAGCAGCTGCCTCGGCTCCTACACCGAGCTTTTGCCACAGTCGAGGCAGATTTATTTTTGAGAAAACCACATAACTTTTCAGTGAGTACAAATCCTGTTTATAGATGCATTAAACAGGTTTATTCTGTTGAGTTGCCAGGTGAGTTGGGTAACCTTTGTCCAGCCTGGTTTTACCACCCTTGACAGCGTGTTAGAGCTCAGAAGCTCCTTGTCAGTAAGAAACCTTGTTTCCTCACCGCTCTGGGTAGGTCGTCATCTCAGTCACACCTTTTTCTTTTTTTGGTACTGGGGATCGAACTCGGGTCCCTGTGCTTGCACAGCAGGCAGCGAAACCGCTGAGCTAAATCCCCAGCCCTAAATTAGAATAGAACTATACACATAAAATTCTCTTTTTTTTTTGGTACCGGGGATTGAACTCAGGTCCTTGTGCTTGCACAGCAGGCAGCGAAACCGCTGAGCTAAATCCCCAGCCCTTCAGTCACACCTTTTAACCCTCACACCGGGGCAAAATACATGACAGATACTAAGGCTCAGTCCATGACCTCGTGTATGACCAGGTTGCTAAGTAAGCCTCAGAGCTCAGGTTGAAGACACCCGGACTATTTATTGATCAAGTGTGGCCTAGAATCCTCCCTCAGCTGATCACAGGGACCAGTGACAGAGCCTTTGTGGCCATTCAGTGGTGTTCAGACTGAGGAACCTGATGTTCTTAGCTAGACTTAGAAATCCTCTCATGGTGGGTGTGTGGTACACACCTGTAATCCCAGCACTCAGGAGGCTGAGGCAGGAGGATCACTGAGTTCAAGGCCAGCCTGGACTATACATTGAGGGCCTGTCTCAATGTTTTTTTTTTTTGTACCGGGGATTGAACTTGGGACCTTGTGCTTTTGGGGCAGGTGGTGGAACCACTGAGCATTAAATCCCCAGCCCTAAATCTCAGTGTTGTCAGTTTTTTGGGTTTTTTTTGAGAGCCTGTCTCAAAAAGCAAAACAAGGGCCGAGGATTTAGCTCAGTGGTTCTGCGCCTGCCTCACAAGCACAGGGTCCTGAGTTCGATCCCTGGTACCCGCCCCCCCCCAAAAGCAAAACAAAAAAACACTCTTAGCATGAATTTTTTTCTTTAAAGCCAGTTATAATCCATTAGTTTTTGATGAACAGGTTTATGGCTACAATAGGCGGGAAATAGCCCAGCACACCTACCCTGAGGGATGCTGCTGCAGCGCGAGGCTCCTGGTGTAGGGACCATACATGTGTGGTTTCCTGTGTTACTGCTCACTCTCAGTGTGGTTCATCTCTGGCTTGGAGAGAAGTGTGTTGGTTTGAGCACAGGTGGCACTGGTGTGCCTGGCCTTGAGCCCCTGTGGTAGGCAGGGGTGCCCCTGTGATTGCTTGGACCATGTGCTTACGCCCATGTGATGCAGAGGTGGAGGGGAACTTCTACCAAGGCTGACTCTTGTCTTCCAGTGTAAGGCCCTCCTGACACTGCACACTGGCCCTTGGGGCTGCACTTCTTGTTCTGTGCTTTGTACCTGTTCAGGATCCCTGCTGGTCCCCTGTGAATGTAGCCAAGGGTCTTTGGCCGTATCACCCTCAACCTGCTGTCTCTCGTCTGAATGCAGATGGAGAAGCCTCAGTCCCTAGGTCAGGGCACAAGTAGGTGGCCTCTCGACTCATGGCCTTCTTTTTTTTTTTTTTTGGCACCGGGGATTGAACTCGGGTCCTTAGGCATCAGGCATCAAAACTACTGAGCTAAATCCCCGGACCACTATGGCCTTCTTATCCAGAGCCTGGCATCCTCAGAACCCAGGGCCTTCATGTTGAAGGCCAGCCTAGGACTTACGATTCTTTATTCTAAGTACAGAATTAACAGCCTCAGCACAAATGCCTTGAAGATAGCTGCTTCTACTAACATTGCTTAGGTGCTTTCTAGCGGGCCCTCAGCAAGCATTTCTCACTGACTCCTCACAGAACCCTGAGGTGCAGGCATTGCCAGGGCAGTGGGGAGATGCAGGTATGTGAGGGATGTCATCCTCTGCCACACTGGGGACCCTGGTCTGCAGCGGGCCCTCGGTGGGCAGGTGGCTGTTCAGCGAAGGACAGGACAGGGGGCCCCAGCTCTCCTTTGCCTTACAGATGGTGAGCGGCTGCAGCTGCAGGATGATGAGGACGACAGCCTGTGCCGCATCTGCATGGACGCTGTCATCGACTGCGTCCTGCTCGAGTGTGGGCACATGGTCACCTGCACCAAGTGTGGCAAGCGCATGAGCGAGTGTCCCATCTGCCGGCAGTACGTGGTGCGGGCTGTGCACGTGTTCAAGTCCTGAGACCTTGCCTGCCTGGCTCAATCCCAACATGTCGATGCACAGAGTGATTGGAAACTCACTGTTCATAGGCAGAAGCTATTTTTAAAAATTATTTTCATTACGAATGGGGACAGGCAGGTTCATCCTAAGTCGAAGACATACCAATCCATGCCGTTTGCCTGTAGACGCTGAGCCGTGTTCTGCTGGGCCTGTCCCTTATCCCTGGGAACACCGACTGCTCAAGTTGGACTGGTGACCCTGTGGGGTGACCTGTCCTCTGACCCCTCCTTTGTGCATACTTCCGTTGGCACCAGATGGGGTGAGCTCACTGTCATGGCGCTGATGGAGCACGCGCCACATGGTGGACCTGCGATATTCCCTTTATTAGTCATGTATATTTTAAATGCTAACACTTGATGAATGTAAGTTTGCACACCATTGCTATTCCTGCATTTCAACCTAATTGGGAACTGACGTTCTGTAGTCAACTGCCAGAGCCTTAGACTAAACATGTCCATTTCTGTTCAGGTACAGCTTTTTATGGCAAGGGCTGCCTCTAGCTTCTTACGTTCCAAGAGTGTGTGCTGCGTTATTAATGTATGATCAGTTTACCCTGTTTTGTAGAGTGAAGGTGTATTTTTTGTGCTACCTGCTAGCTAATTTCAACTTTGGAAATAAAATCTGATTTAAAAAATGGTCTCTTGTCAGCTCCTAGCTCATCTCCATGTAGCAAGAACAGGTGTCTGTGCCCTGGGCTGCTGGGCCTTCTTCAGGGATGCCATCTCCAAATGGGTGCTGATCTGGACTCACCAGTGAGGCCAGCTACTGACAGTCTGTTTACTGTGATTTAGGATTGTGGGGGGTGGGGGAAAAATTGAACCCAGGGCCTTCACAGAGCTACAATAACCAATCTGTTTTTTAAAAAATTTTAAGATAGGCTCTCACTAAGTACCTTAAGTTGCCCAGGCTGGGCTTGAACTCAAGATCCTCCTGCCTCAGCCTCCCAGAGTGCTGGGGTTACAGGCGTGTACCATCAGGCCTGGCTCAGCCAGTGTTGTGCTAGGCACTGCATAGTGTTGTCCTGCAGGCTACATGACAAAGCCAGCCTCTGGGAAGTACAGGACTCAGCCAATCCTCACCTTTAAAAGTGGTGAGCTGGGGATTTAGCCTAGTGGCACCACACCTGCCTTGTGAGCACAAGGTCCTGAGTTCAATCCCTGGTACCAAAACAAAACAACAAAAAAAGTGGCTGCACCAGTCGCCAGAGCCCTTTGAATACACGAGGTAAATGAGCGGGGTGTGTGCTATCAGCCCACACAGAAAGGCCCTGCCATCTCTTTAAGTCCAGCTTGGATCAGGGTGGCTTTTGGTGGAGCCCAAGTGGATCTGCCCCACTGGTAGTGGGCAGACAGGCTTCTAGGAGACAGCTGATGTGTCGGGCAGGTCACCAGCTATCTTCAGACTCCGCAGTAACACACGCTTTTGTGTACTGTGTTCAGGATCAACTAGTCAGTCAGTAGCCAAAGCGGCTGTGTGCTCAGGGGAGGCAGAGAGCTGCCCTTGTGTAGGAGGCAGAAAGTCTAACTGGAGAAAAACACAGCTTTCTGCCTTTGCTCAATTTGTAGTCAACAGAGGTCCGTCAGGGCTGTGAGGGTGTCTGGATGCCCATCTCGCCGCCCAGGGACCAGCCGGGTGTCTGGTGCCGTAGCCAGTGGTGCCCTGATGAGGCGCCTGGTCCTCACACCTTGTCGCTGCTTCTGCATGGGAACAGTCGAAACACTTCTCCCCAAAGCCTTAACTTCGTGGTAGGAAGTGTTTATATTCGGCCAGCAGGTGACCCACAGCTGGTGAACCCGCGGATGCCAAGGGCTGTCTACCTTGTCAAGCTGTCACTCTAGAAGGATTCAAAACACCACTGGAAAAAAATCCACCATAAGTTTTTACTCTGGCTATAAGGAAGGACCAAAGATCTAATGTGAAAATCCAAAGGAACCAGTAAACAAGCCAGCTGGGGAGGTCACCCTATAAGAGTTTTCTTGCCCGCCACAGCCCCAAGTTCCTGTGCAGGGCGCGGCCTCCTTTAGTGGCCCCCGTGGGGTTGGGGAAATGACACTGACCGAGTCTGGGGAACTTCTAGGAAGGGTGATGCCAGGTGGACCCCACAGGTGGCCCTCTTCTCTACGTGGCATTAGGGTGGTGCCTGGGCACAGCCACAGACCGGGCCCTCTGGGTGGCTGCGTTTCTCAGGTGAAAGAGAACAGTACCGCGTGGGCTCCAAATGGTGCACACTCACTAGTGCCGGCCTCCCGGTTACATACATCTCTAGTCCTCTCCTAAAACAAAAACCCCCGAAGACCGTGAGAGCTTTTTTGTACAATTGTTTATACAAATTCAACAAAGGTAAAACCGCATTGGGGAAGGTCTAGGAAACACCACCATAGACAATGGCACTTATGAATGCAGAACTTCACAACTAGCAAACAGCCAGCTCACGAACCTAAGTGAGAACTCAACTCACTTCAAAGGGGAGGACCAAAGGAAAAGAAGCGCCTTGTGGGCACATTTATTCTACTCCTTGACTCACAGGATAAATTAGCTCGATGTGAGGTACAAGAGCTCATGCTGGAGCAAACCCCTCCTGAGTACAAAGGCTGAAGTTTCAATTGTAAAATCTTGAGAGAAAAGTGACTTCTCTATGGAGGAAACTTGGCAACAACGTGTCTTACTTTGACTATAACTGACATCTATCCACAACATGCTTGTGTGGCTTCCTGATGTGTACAGCGGGCTCTGGCTTCCAGCTAAACATGCTTTTAAGTGGAAGACTTGCCCACCAGCTCAGGTCTGGGCACATCTGTGTCGATGAAGTACAGGTTGAGTTCTCTCCTACCTGAAGGAAACCAGGAAGGTTGGCAATCTCAAGACAATAAAAACACTGGTATGCATTCAAACCTTGCATAAATAACTTTTAAACAATTTGTACAAAAATAGTTCTGCATAATGTAAGATGTAACAAAACCAAACAAAATGTGTCAGGATGGCCGCAGATGTGGCGTGTGGTCCACATTATGTTGACACCAAAACCCTCAACCTTGCAAGGAACTGGGTGTCCAAACAAAAACACCACCAAAGCAACCCCCAACCCCTTGCCCACGTGAGCCCTCCTCCCCTGACCAGAGCGTCTCGTCCCAAGGCTGCCTGAGAAGTGGTCCGGAGAGCAGTGTGGTCACCACACAGAGCAGAGCAGGCGCCCCTCACTTGCCGGCGAGGGGTGGGTCGCCTCTCCCTGGGCGAGACCTGCACACGGAATCGCTGTCGCCTGCAATCCCGGTCCAGAGTTCCAGTGGGAAACAAAGCCCTCCGTGGCTATAGCGTCTTTCCCTGCCACCACTCCCCGCCCTGCCCCGTATTTACACGCTTATCCTTGGACTAACTCAGTTTCTGCAGGAGTTTTTCTTCGACTTGCCCGAACTGGACACTCACGGACATCTCAGCAATGAACTGCTCACAGCCTTCCTTGGTGACTTGCTTGCAGTACCTCAGGTCAATATGGCAGATGTTCCCACAGCGTTTGAAGAAGGACAGGCACTGATCAGTGACCTTATTGCAGTCTGCAGGGAAGAGGAGATGACATGAGGGGGAGGGCACGGGGCCTGCAGACCCCAGACCCGGCGCTCAGCAACTGAGCCAGGGAAGCTTGCTAGGTTTTCTAGCCCGTGCCTCAGAGGAAACAGTATTCGCTCAAGAGCGCCTGGGTGAGGACAGGCTCCAGCTGCCCAAGTGTGTGTGCTGGGCTGTGCCCCATCTACCCTCGGCACCTGACCAGGGTCCCACGTGAGACTCATGGATGGCACAGGGCCGCCTCTGCCTACGAGGTCTCCTGTCAGAATCCTGCAGAGACCGGATCCTGGCAGCCGCTTTCCTGCCTGATGCCGTCGAGGGCCACCTCCAGGTGCCCAGTGCCCACATTTCTACAGGGTCAGCTTGGAATCTCCTCCTGACACCACTGCTATGTGCACAGCTGTGCATTCACTGTCTCCCCAAGCCCATGCAGGGCATAGCACAGCAGCCCCTCTGCTAACAGCGCTTATGTGCGTGCAGCTCGCACCACTCACAGAGTGGACTTCTCTTCTGCCAGTTTCTTCTGGAAATGAAGCCACAGCCAAGTGGCTTCAATGCCAGTAACACCCAGCTGAGACTTGCCGTCCAGGTGAGGGAGAGCTCCTTCCTCCTCAAGGTGGCGCCAAGTTGGAGCCCCCTGGCATTGCTAGTGACCTGTTTCACCCAGCTGAGGCAGCCAGCACCCGGATCCCCACGGGCACCTCTGCAGTGGTAGTTCCTCTGGTGTAGTGCACACCCGTGAAGACGACTCAGTCCCCCTGAGGCAAGAGGGCTTCAAGACCTCAGACAGGTGGTGCTGGGACGCTTCCTATGCTGAGCAAGGGGCCTGCCTGTAATCCCGGTACTGAGAGAGGCCAACGCAGGAGCATCACAGAGTTTGACCCCAGCCTGGGCAACTTAGTCAGACCCCATCTGAAAATAATAAAGGGCTAAGGACGTGGCTCAGTGCAAAGGCCCTAGATTCACTTCATAATACCACAAAACTGTAGCCTTACACTTTGTCCAAGTGATTTTAGTGAATGCCTCAGGTATCTCCCCAAGATCGCTGCCGCTGTATGCTCAAACAAGGAGGAGTGTTGCGTGCTAGCATACTAGCTTGCTATTCTGCCAGAGAAATCAGGCCCCAAATTCAAAACCTGATTCATTTCAGATGGATGGGGATTCTGTCAATATGAGAAAACACTTATTTCCGTATTATTTTTGCTTTGTTTTTCATCACTTTTCCAACTTTTTCCTTTTTTTGAGACCAGGTCTTGCTCTGTAGTCCAGGCTGGTGTCAAACTCACAGCAGTCCTCTTGAATGCTAGGATTACAGGCGTGCGCCACCACACCCGGCTTTTTCTGTTGTTTTTTGAGACATGTAGTTTTGCTATGTAGTTCAGGCTAGCCATGGACTTGTGATGATCCTTCTGCCTCAGCCTCCTGAGTGCTGGGATCACAGGTGTGTGCCACCACACTCAGCTAACAGGCCTTTTTTCTTGGGTTTTGACCATTAGCCAGTCAGAGCCACTCACGGTGTCCCTACAGCTCTGGCCACATAAACACCCCTGGGGCTGAGGCCCAGGTGCCAGTGGGATCGGTGGTAGTCGGGTAGTGATACCTCCCCCTGGGGTAGCTGAGCTCCAAGGCTGTCGGAGGAGGCCTGATACACATGAGGGAGTGTGGGGCTCCCGGAGGTACCGTCCCCTCCATCCAGCTGCCTGGCTGAAAGGCTCTTGGGCTCCAGGTTCAGTTTTTAAACCTGCAGTCAGGGTGCACTCCTGTCCCGTTTGTACTGTGACCAGGGTCCCACACTGGGAGCTCACCCTCAGGAAGCACACAGCAGGAGCCACCTCTGTACCTGTTATCCAGGAAGTGTTCTTGCCATTAATGTCTAACCTGGATCTAAGCAAGCCCTTGGCCCTCACCTGTAGTTCCCAGGAGAAATGGGACAGAGAACAAATCAAATGATACCATGGAGCCAACAAACAAATCCTGGGTGCCAAAGATGTTCTCTGAGAGAACTACAGAGGCCTGGGGCTGTCAGGCTGGTGTGTGAGTGGCGCCTGCTAAGGACTTGGGGACAAGCAGTGGTGGGAATGAACCCAAACCCGGGCTGCTTTTCGTCCCCAGCCCTTTGTCTGAAGACAGCAAATGATAAGAAGGCCTGTTCAATATGTGGTCCAGGTGTCACAGAGAGCGAAATGAAAATATAAGGAAATAATTTTATCTTATATTGGGAAAATAACTATCCTGTCTCAATTTAAAATGAATCAAGTATAGCTGGACACAGTGGCACAGGCTTGTGATCCTAGCACTCCGAGAGGCTGAGGCAGGAGAATCACAAGTCTGAGCCCAAACTGGGCAACTTACTGAGACCCTGTGTCAAAATAAAAAACAAAGGGCTCCTGGCAAGTATGAAGCCCTGAGTTCGATTCCCAGTACAAAGAAAAAAAAGGTCAAAAAAGCCTGGGATTTAGCTCAGTGGTTCTGCTGCTTGCCTCGAAAGTGCAAGGTCCCAAGTCCCATCCCTGGTACCAAAAAAGAAAAAACAAAGGGCTAGGGAAATAGCTCAGTGCAAAGGTCCTGGGTTCAATCCCCAGCCCCCTCCCCCATCAAGTAGTTATAGGACAGTGATTTTTCTGAAGAAACTGTATGCTAGCATTCATTATACACCATCTTTCATCATTCGACTTTTGCAGTTAAGATTGTAACCTGATTATAACTTTCAACTTGAATAGGGCGGAGTAGTGCACACATGTAATCCTAGCATTTGGGAGCTGGGTTTGAGGCCAGCTTGAGCTACATAGCAAGACCCTGTCTCAAAACAAAAAAGATTATAACTTAACTCAATCTTGAGGCTGTGGGATATTAAAGGATGCTCCTAGAAAACATGAGAGGTTGTCTTTTGTTGTTGTTGTCCAGGGATCGAACTTGGGTCCTTGCGTTTATGCAGCAGGCGGCGAAACCACTGAGCTAAATCCCCGGCCCTGTTGTTGTTTTTGAGACAGGGTCTTACTATGGAGCCCAGGCTGGCCTCAAACTCATGGTGATCCTCGTGCTGGGGTTTCAGTTGTGTGACCACGCCCAGCACAGGCTGCCTTCTGAACTATTTCTTGGTGAGTTTCCAGGTCCTGACTCTCACTGACGAACAGAAGGGCATGTGGTCATTCTCCCTCTATGCTGCAGAGGTGGACAGCACTGTGTCCTTATTCTAGGATGCTGTGCACACGAGGTTTACAGGCATGTAGGGGTGAGTGGAGTCTGCATCTTCAAACCACCAAACAGAAAAGCCCAGGGAGAGAGCGAATGCATCACACAGCATTCACCACTGCTGCATCCCGGAAGGCACAAGTGTGTTCACTGCTGTTTTCCAGTTTTTCTGTCTGAAAATGTTCAAAATATAAAATTGGTAGTGTGGAAATTCTTTATGCCCAGGGCTACCATAAGTTAAAGGTATTTTTTCTCAGCTTTTATAATAGTGAAAAACAGATACTCAATGAAAGGACCAGAATTAAGTGTTACAAACCTCTAACAGTACAGTCCATAAAGACAAACTCCTACCAGGTAACAAAAATTAAGTTCTAGACAGATCAAAGCAGTAAAAAAAAAAAAAAAA